CGTTCAGTAAACTGACAGGTTACAAAATTAATCTACAAAAGTCTGTAGACTTTCTATATACCAATCACAAGCAATCAGAGACAGAGTGCTTAGAAACACTCCCTTTCACAATAGCTGTAAAAAAATAAAATATCTCAGAATAAACCTGACCAAAGATATTAAAGACCTCTGCAATGAAAATTTTAAATCTTTAAAGAGATTGAGGAAAACATCAGAAGATGGAAGGACCTCCCATGCTCATGGATTGGAAGAATTAATATTGTGAAAATCACCATCCTATCAAAAGTCATTCATAGATTCAATGCAATGCCAATCAAAATCCCCATGACATTTTTCACAGAATTGGAAAACACCATCCTAAGATTCACATGGAAGCACGAAAGACCTCGGATAGCCAAAACAACCTGAGGACTAAGAGCAATGCCGGGGGGGATTACTATACCAGATTTTAAGCTGTACTACAGAGCTAAAGTCATAAAAGCAACATAGTACAGGCACAAAAATAGGCCCAGATCAATGCAACAAAACTGAAGAGCCAAATATGAGGAAATATGGTTTCAGCCACCTGATATTTGACAAAGGGGCCAAGAATATTCACTGTAAGAAAGACAGAATGTTCAGCAAATGGTGCTGCTAAGAATCCGTAGTCACTCAGTCCACAAGGCTGGATGTCTCAGTAGTCCCAATCTGGCACTGAAGGTCTGACAAATTCCAAAAGGTCAGGTAGTCTTCAATCTATAGCAGCAAGACAAACTCATCAGTGAGAGAGAAGGCAAGCAGCAAGAGGCCTGGTGTTCTTCTCTGCTTTGGCCTTTTATAAGGGCTGCCATCAGAAGGTAACACCCACATTGAGGGTGTGTCTTCCAGCTTCAGGTGATCCAATCAAGAAGATCTCTTTCATTTCAGTTAATCCCAGACCCAGTCAAGTTAACACCCAGGATTAGCTATCACAGACCATAAGAGTAAAAATAAATTGGTTTATCTGGGCCAGTTTTAGGGTCTTAAAGACCCAAAAGGAATGTATAACCAAATATTAATGAGGTCAATAAAATTTTTCATAGTCCGTATGTATAGCTAAAGGTTCCATAACAAGAAACAATGCCAGACAGAAGATGCCTTCCTTTGAGTTTTTGGCCAGGGTGGCTCAAAGACTCCCAGACAGCAATCCAGCATAGAACTGGGAAGATGAACAACAGACCCCAAACTTATCTAAAGGAATACTGACAACTGATTGCTGCTAGATGAGGAACAGCTGATCATCCTAAAATAAGGATCTCTAGATAGGCTGACTACATGCAGCAGACAGACAAGCACTGGGGAATGGGTGGGTGTGCCGACAACATAGTGGACAGTAACAGTCAAGAGAGTATATAGGCTCCAATGTGTGGGAGGAGGGAGGCTATGGGAGGGTGCCATTTGGGGAGTGGGTATATAAATGAATAAGATTGTGTGGGATGTTCTATATGACGTACACACACAAAAAAAATCAGCAAATTAAAAAGAAAAGACATATTTTGAGGAGGAAGCATGGAAATGACATCATGTTAATTAGTAGAGGTGACAAACATTACCATTGAAATCTACCCGATGACTTTATAGACACACACAGGCGCCAAGGATCCAAGTGCAAACCGATTATGACTAGTAATAATCAGATCATACAGATTAGAGATGCATGCGCCAACATCTCAATAAAAAAGGGAGCTGGAGAGATGGCTCAGTGGTTAAGAGCACTGGCTGCTCTTGCAGAGGACCTAGGTTTGATTCCCAGCACCCAAATAGAGGTTAAGAACCATCAGTAACTCCAGTTCTAGGGTATCCAAAGCCCTCTTCTGACTGCCATGGGTATCCACGACATGAGTGCACTTACATATATACAGACAATACACTCATATATATATATAAAATAATAAATAGCAAATAAAATATTTTCAAAAATAGATATCCAAAAAGAAAATTCATTTTTCCATGAGCTAACCTCTTGCATACCTTTCCATTGGCAGGGAAATAGTGTCCCTCAAAGTTCAAAATGAGAGGTGTGAACATCAAAGGGAAAAATTGTCAGAACAGAGCAATGGTTCTAGGGGAAATCAAGTGATTCTAGCAAAGAGTACAAATTACTCCAAAGGTTTAAAGTATTAAAACACAAGGCATTACTTATATGTAAAATGTATTATATGTATATTAAATATGTTATGCATATATTCACTTGTATTATACATATGTAAATACATTTGCAAAATATGCATGCATGTGTATAACTATACATATGGTATGTATGTTAAAAAGATGAATCAAACCTTCTGGTGTCTATCAGTTGGCTAAGTCTACGGTCAATATATCAAGGGAAAATGAGCAGTAAAGAAAATTTCTATCCAGCCAGGCAGGTTCAGGGCCACAGTAGAACCTGAGGCTTTGGGTTGTGTCTCCTGCACCTGGTAGTGGTAGCATGCTAACATTACCAGAAGGAGAAAGCATGAAAAAGGACATCTTGGAGGGAGAGAGAGAGAGAGAGAGAGAGAGAGAGAGAGAGAGAGGATACCATTCATCTGCTGTTCTCCCATGAATAGCATCCCCAAATTCTATTTAACATTCATTTCCACTCCTTCTTTAGCCTCAGCTCTTTTTATTAAGACCTCATGTTATTTAAAGCTTTCTATATATGTGCAGTGTATGTGTGTGTACACATGTGCAGGTACATGCACCCACGCATGCATGCATGGATGGAGGCCAGAGGAGGACGTTGGTTGGCCTCTCAATTGCTCTCCACCTTATTTCCTTGAGTTTCCTTGAGACAGGCTCTCTCAGTGAACCTGGAGTTAACTGGGATTTTTGTTTGTTTTGCTTCTATCCAGGCATCAAGTCCTAGAGATATTCCTGTTTCTGCCCCCAGCTCCCCAGGGCTGAGGTTACAGGAAGATGTGGCTATGCCATTATGTGGGTTAACGCATTATGTGGGTTCTTGGGATCTGAACTCATGTCCTCATGCTTTTGCAACAAGCACTCTTACCCACTGAACCGTCTTCCCAGACTCATTGCCACTTCTAATCCTTCCACAGTGTCTGGGTGCAACATGGGACCTTCAGGGAATTATCAAATGGCTGTTCAGTCACCTTGCAAGTCACCTCTGTACCTTTGTGTTCACCTCCCAGGGACAGCCAGGAGAGAATGAAATGAGACAGTCTCTCTACTCCCAGTTCCCACTTGCTTCCCCACAACAAACATAAACTAAGCAGTCAGCAAGTCAGCTTGCCTTTTGCTCAAGGAGCAGCCTGTGTGCCGCCTCAATGTCTGGTGCCATGAAGCGATCTTTTATCCAGGGCCTATAGAGAAAGCATATAAAGCCATCAGCCAAAACCCTGACTCTGCCAAGTTTCACAGTTCTAAAGTGATGTAACTTCTAGGGACCTGTTGACCCTACCTTACAACAGAGCGCACCAGGTCATACACCTTCTCCAGAGGAGTGGTTGTTTTCAGGGGGCGCAGAAACTCTATGCCCTGGCAGGCAGCGAGAAGCTCAATGGCCAGCACTGAAACAAAAATGTTGAGGCAATGGTTAATTCAAGTCTGTTTTTGTGCTCAAGGAACTAAAATCACACACAATTGCAACTATTGGTAACCAATTAATAGTTCGTTTTCTATGTGTTGGTAGAATGAAGTTGTCTTGTTATAAGTTACCATGTTTTTGCTTTGGGTTTTTAAAAAATTAATTAATTCATTCATTTTTATTTTATATGTATGAGTATATTGCATGCATGTAAGTGTACCCGTATTGTGCAGTACCTGAGGGGGCCAGAAGAGGGCTTGATATTCCCTGGAACTAGAGTTACAGATGGTTGTTAGCTACCATGTGGGTGCTGGAAACTGAACCCAGGTCTTCTGCAAGAGCATCCAGAGCTCTTAACCTCTGAGTCACCTCTCCAGTCCCTGCTTTTGGTTTCTTGAGATAGGGTCTTATGTATCCCAGGGTAGCCTTCAATTCCACATGTAGCCCAGGATGCCCTTTAACTCCCGAGTCTCCTGTCTCTACCTCCTATAATAGGCAGGTGTTACTACACTTTTTTTTTTTTAAGATTTGCTTTTATTTTTATTTATCTGTATGTGTGTATGTATCTGTCTAAGAGTCTGCCATGTATGTGCAGGTGCCCTTAGAGATCAGATTGGATTGGACTTCCTAGAACTGGAGTTACAGGTGGCTGTGAGCTGCCTCATGTTGGTACTAGGAACCAACTTGTGTCCTCTGGAAAAGCAGCCAGTGCTCTTAACCACTGAGACATCTCCATACTACACCCAGTTTATGTGGTGCTGGGAACTGAACCTAGGGCTTTTGCATGCACTATGTTCTCTAACCTTTAAGCTCGTTGTAAACCTCCTTTTCTAACCCTTTGGTTGTATCTTCATTGGTGAGAGAACTGAAACATCTACCGGGACAGAGTGATTATCTGCCTCTGTAACCTACCTAGGAAGCTACCACTGGGCTACACTATCAAACTCTGTCATTTCCCCAAGTCAGCAAGGTTTGTTGGCCAGGGAAGGAGGTCTGAATGAACAGCCCAACCCTGCTTGGAGCCCCAGTAGTATGACATAAGACACTTTGCTTCTCAGTTTCCAGCTATGTGTGTGTGTGTGTGTGTGTGTGTGTGTGTGTGTGTGTGTGTGTGAAGTGGGCGCACTAAAGGGTGGGAACTTTCCTCCAGGTCCACAGTAGATTCTAAATCCTCTCTCCTTTTGACCTTTCGGTACTCATTTGAACTTGTAATGTGCTTCACAAATTGAAAGGTGAGAACCCAAATGTTTTTAATATATATCTTGGCTAACCACTGTGAACTAAAGTTCTAAAATAAATCTTAACAAAACAAAAAACCCCAAACCAACCAACCCTCCCCCCGCACCCTTCTCCCTCAAATCCACACCTATGTTAAAGACTCTACAAGACTGACTATAATGTTGACAATCCAAAGTCTAAATAGCATTCCTTGCCCATCTCTGTGTCTGATCTGACATCCTTGTTCCTATCATGTAAAACCTTTTAAAATTTAGCAGATCACTAACCTCCTTCAGTCCTAAAGCTAAGACTAGCATCAGAGAGCATTTGAGATACCAAGAGAGATTGCTCTGCTCTGTTTTAACCCCATATCTGATGTTCCCACAAGTGTACTTGGAAAATGCCCTGATTTATGACTTTCTTTCAGTTTGTTACTATTAAAACCTCACAAAATGGTTACTATGTTGGAATATGAAATTTGGGATGCTTAAATTTGTGTTTGTGGGCCTTGGTCACTACTATTTGGCTCTAGAATAAACCATCTCTTATCCTCTTGGAGGTGAGAGCTGCATTTCTTGGGTTGACTGGGGAGTGGTTAAGACTTGAACCAGCCACCTGGACTAAAGTCCCAGCATTGGCATTAAAAGCTGTACAACTTTGGGCTCATTAACCTTTGCTTTGGTTTCCAGACATATAAAATGGGACAGTAGTACCTACCTTACTAGGGTTACTGTGCAGATTCAATGAGTTACAAGGCTGAATGCATGTAGAAAATGTATGATAGGCATTAGTAACATGCTATTATCTCAGAAGAAAGGTAGTGTTGTGATGGGTAAGGACAAGGGGAGAAAGTGACCAGGGAGTACATATTCGCAAGGTAAGCAATGTTAGAAGCACCTAACATTGATACCTCTGCAACATTTTGCCATCTGTAACCAGCAGTTCTCCCTAAACCCTTCCACTGGGATTTGAAAAGCTACTTTCCTGCGACAAATTCAAGCTAGATCTCAGTGTATCTCTATCTAGCTGTGCACTTTTTACAGATCTCATCTTGAAATAAGCTCACAGCCTGTGAATGGCCAGGGACAACCATGCCAACTGTCCAAGATATTTTCTAAACATACTGAAAATATCTCAGAAAGCACCTAGTTTTATGATTGTTTTCCTTCGTCTTAGTAAAATTCACAAGAATTAAAGCTACCTAATAGCCTTATAACTCATATAATAAATAACAGTGCTTAAATATGTTGCTAAAATGTCTGGTGGTTTTGCCTACCTCTTGGGCTAATTTAAACTTGGGATCCTGCCACTGGAAAAAGACTGTCTTGACTTTGCAACCCCTTCCTCCTTCAGAGCTCTGCTGCCCTGTGCTCTTAAAGCCTTTGAGATGGTGTTCCAGTCAGCTCTTATACTTCATGTCCTCTTTCATCCCAGATGTAACTCTTCATCAAGACCTGTTCCTGCACCTCTCTCCTCCTTACCTCTAGTAACCCTCAGCTACCTCTGTGCACAGAGCGCTGACCTTCATCCATCCAGTTCATCCCTGAGCTTTGGCATCTGTATCTCGTTATGCTATAAGCATTTCCGTCACAGTGCATCCTAAACCAACTTGATTTTTGCATACTCCTTTCCTTTCCATTACAACAGTAGTACTGCACACACAACACAATGTAACACAACACGTACACACACAGACTGGGCCATATGTGCCATTCACATTTTAATCTTGGATTTTCCTTTGAAGACACCATTTCTGGTCCCTTCAGATTAGATCAGGTTCTGTTATTTCCTCCTACAACTCTGCCTTTCAGTTATCATTCTGTTCATTGCTACAAAGAGCTAAATGTCTGCTTCTCTATGTAGAACCTGGTTTCCATGAGGGCAGAAGTGAGGCACATCCCACTCACTGTCTCTCCCACTGTGATCCAGTGAGCATGCCCCCACACTAGTTACTTAAACTAGAGGTAATTGGGTGCTGTGATAGGCAGGCCCTGCAATCGGTGGTATTACCCTCTCCATACTCCCACACCAGCTACTTAAACTGCTGTGATAAGCAGGCACTTATCACATACTTCATAGGCAGCACCACTGGATTCCAAGATTTGTAGGTATTTGCTAAACATCTGTAATCAAAAACTTAAGTAATATACATATTTGTAATGCAAATTTCCTATTCTTGTTTGTTTGTTGTTAACTGCCCTTCTTTGATATAATCAACACTGATGAAGTAGACCTACCTTTTGGACAGTGTGGACTCTAATGTCACGCAAACATTTGAAAAACAAGTCTGAACCATGTCCTGGCCTAGGTGATCCAGGCCCATTCACAGTTGTGATCAAGATGGACAAGAATCCAGCCATTGTGGAAGGACAAATAAGCCTAACTGTATCCAAGGTACTAAGTGCTGCCAGGAAAAAAGCAGCAAGAATAAGGGCTGGAGAGATGGTTCTGCTTTTGCAGAGGACCTGGGTTCAGGTCCCAGCACCCACGTGGTGGTTCATGATCACCTGTAACTCCAGTTCCAGGGGATCGGATGCCCTCTTCTGGCTTCTGTGGGCACAGGCATGCACACGATACACACACGTACATCAGGCACTCACACATACACATAAAAATAAATAAATAAATCTTTAAAAAAGAAAAAAAACAAGAAAGGAAAGAACACCAGGTGCTGTTCAAGCTGAAGTCAGCGGGAAAAACACGTGAAAGACTCTGGGCAGCTACCCGGATGGAGAGAGAAGGGACCATGAGAAGTCTTTGGAGACGGAGCTGCAGGCAGATGGTCCTGAAAGGTGCCAAGACAGTGACACATTCATTGCTAGTACAGGACAACACTGTGGTTTCAGGGAAGAGAAGGCACTAGAGAAGAGGCAGATGGCAATTCTTGACTGATTTCTAGGCCTCAGGAAGGGGTATGGATGTGATTTTGTACACTATGCAGTACCTGTCGAATTTCTGGCAGAGTCATGGTTTGGTCTAGATTATATTTGCAGAAACGCATCCTGCTTTGTAGTATGTGACAACTGCTTAGGAGATTAATCGGAAAGAGGGCTTGATCTGGTGGATCTGGAAGATGGGGCTAATTTGTTGATGAATTAGAAGCTATGAAACTAAGGGCATCTCTTTAAGTTTTTAGTTGGAGCAACACATCCAACGGGAATCACCTGAAGAGTGGACATTCAGGAAAACGCTGTGATGTGCAGATAGCAAGTGCTGCTGAAGATTTGGAGAAGGAGCCCAATAGGCATGTTATATGGAGCAGCCACTGTGGAAAACTATCTGTAAGCTCCTCATAAAGATGGGTAGAGGGCTGGAGAGATGGCTCAGCAGTTAAGAGCACAAGCTGCTCTTGCAGAGGATCTGGGTTCAATTCCCAGCACTCACACGGCAGCTAACAACTGTAACTCCAGTTCCAGGGGAATCCGGCGCCTTCTTCTTACCTGGACGAGTATTATGCAACATGGGTGCATTTACATACATGCAGGCAATATATCCATACACATAAAAAATAAATAAAAATAATAAAATATTTTTTAAGAGATGGGTGGAAAGCTATCATATGGTCCAACAGTTCCAGCCCAGACAAGTGAGAACATCACCACAAAAACCATTATGTATCAGCCAAAAGGAACAAGCAAATCAGTCCCTTAACTATGCATGGGTAAGGTAAATGTGACTTATCTGTGGAATAGACTATTACTTGGGTCGAACAAAACAATGCAAAACAAAAGCAGCACTAGAACATGAATGAATCTTGAAAGAAGTATGCTAGAACAGAAGTCAGTCTCTAAGGAACACATATTGTGTGATCCCATTTATGTGAAATGCCCATAACAGGCAAATCTATAGAGACCAAAAATAGTTGAGTGGTTGCCTAGGACTGAGGTGAGCAGGGAGAGTAGAAGCAGGATAAGTAAAGGGTATAGTGTTTCTTTGGGAGTTGATGAAAATGGTCTAAAATTTATAATCGTTTACTTCTTTGAATATACTAAAATCATCGAACTATTTGCTTTAAATGGGTAAGGTGAATTGGAACACAAAATAACTGAAAATAACTGTTTAAAAAATACCTAATTTGTCTTAAACTTGATATTCTTTTGTCATCCAATGAAACTTAAGCAGTCCTGTGACATCAACTTAAGAAGTTAGGACCATGTTTAAAGGAAGGCAATTTCATTTTCAGCAAAGATAAAACAAAGCCATTGAAAAGGCAGAGAGAAGATGGCCTAAGGTAACTCTCCTTATTATATATCTCTGCCAACAGGGTAAACCTAAATTTTACTAATTTTTTAGGGTCAACTCCAATACATCAGCAATGCCTAGAGAAAAGAATATGTGAAGATTGATACCATAAGGAAGCTACCAGAAAAATACAGAACATCGTCTATCCACAAGAAAATTCTCATTGCGTCAAAAGCGTGATGAAAAGAAAACAAGACACAATGGACTGTTGTAGATTAAAAGACACTTAGAGTCATGACAACCAAATTTAAAACATGGGCCTGGACTCCTTGTTTAAACAAACTTGGAAAGGGTGAGATGCTACAGCCGGGAAATTTTGGATTTTCATTTGGTAGTGATACCAGGACTTGACTGTTGAATTTTGTTGGCTGTGAAAATGTCATCCTGGGAGAGAAGAAAAGCATTCATATTTAATGGGACTGGAGACATGGCTCAGCAGTTAAGAGCACTGGCTGCTCTTGCAGAAGACCTGGGTTTGGTTCCCAGCATCCACATGGTGGCTAACAACCATCTGTAACTTCAGTTCCAGGGGATCTCACACCCTCTTCTGACCTCCCCAGGCATAGCATGATATGGGTGCATTTACATGCATGCATGCAATACACTCAAAGACATAAAATAAAAATAATCTTAAAAGGAAAGTATTCATATTTAAAAGAGAAAGTGCATAGGAACAGTCTGAGAGGTTTGCTTGAAAATAATTTGGGGGAAGGAAGAGGGAACAAATATACAAACTGCGGAGTCGGGATGAGGTAAGTGAGGGCTCCTGGTCTTATTCCTTCCACTTTTGAATATTAAAAAACAACCTAATTTAAAATAAAACCAGCCAAGGAGCCATGCTACCACCGTATAGCTGCTTAATTCTCAATTCTCAGTGGGCAGCAGAATCAGCTGGAAAAGCTCTTTACCTCCTTTGAGTTTCTGGGAGGACACCTGAGAATCTGCTTTCTAATAAGTTTCTAGATAAAGCTGATGTCATGGGCAGGGATTCCAACCTGAGAAAGACCCAGTAAATGGGGTTATCAGTGAGGCCTGACTCCCAGCATGGGTTTTACCTTGCTCCACATGCTCGATGACCCTGAGGGCCTTCCTGGCTGCCCATCCACCCATGGAGACATGGTCCTCCGTAGCAGCGCTGGTAGAGAGGGAGTCCACAGATGAAGGGTGACACAGAGCCTTGTTCTCAGAAACTGCAAGAGACCAGTGCAAGTTAAGCAGCATTCCTAGGAGGAAATGCTGCCAAAATGATATGTGACTCCCCCAAAGTCTCCATGGCATGGAAGACACTCCCTAGGAGTTCTTGACCATGCCCCAAGAATCAGATGATGCAGAGCTACATTGGAAAAGGAAGTCAGGTCAATTTTCTCCTAAAGTCAGAAGGACTCTAAACCTTTAGTGAATTCTGAGTTAAGGTGGCGATGAAGATCTGGAAACTCCCATATTACCAGACCATGATGAAAATACCAGAAACATTTAGCGTGCCAGGGAAACCAGTAGGAGTGGAATGGCATGATGGAACGGTTCAGGTACTCAAGAACAATTTGTTTATGTTGGTGAGAAGTCAGATTAGAATTTCGGGGTGGCATTGAAAATTGAGGCTGATTCTACAGATCTTGGGCAAATGTTCAACACTACACAAGTAGGTATTCTGGGCTTCAACAAGGGCTTGATAATAACCAGTGATGTCTGGGAGGTGGGGGATATCTACTCTGGGGTCGCTCTACCCTGAACTTGCATATTAACTCCTCAGTAACCTTGTTACAATTCAGATGCTGAGTTTGGGATAGGCCTGAGGTCCTGATGCTCTAACAAGCTTCCACATGATGCCATATTGCTGACTTGAGGTCTATACCTTAAAGTAGCAGAGACCGAGATTTCCAAGTTCCTTCCCCAGCTCTAGAAGCTAGGAAAGGTCAAACTCAGTCTTTTCTCCTTTTCCATTGATCTTAGGAATAGCTCTTGTTCTTTTCTATGATATAAGGGACCCTACCCTGTAAGGACTCAGGCTTAGAATAGGGTGATCAGTTCATCCTGGTTTGTCTAGGATTCCCCATGTTCTGGCACGACAAATGACAAACCCTGGAGCTCTAAACTGAGGGTCATAGTGACAAGAACTCTTTTCCAGAAAGATAAATTACAAGTGCTTAAAAGGTAAATGAATGACTGAATAAATAAATAAACAAGTTAATTAAGAAAGCAAGCCAAACTACCTCAGTGTGAAGCTTGGGAAGTTAAACTCATTCAAGCCAGCCTTCCCCAAACCCATAATGTTTCCTGGAAACCAATTACTATTGCCACTACCATGGTATAGTGAGACGTTTCTTTGTCAAAGATGTATTTTAAAAGACGAATAAGTGAACAAATAGAAGGTGAATCCAGCGGTTCCTTCTTAGGTGGTCGTGTTGAATTTTAGTGAGATGTCTGGGTGAGGAAGAGCTTGAGAATAATATTATTAAGTAGAAATTATATTTATTTTATTGCTCATGATATTAGGCCCAGTTCTGAGGCTTCATATGCGTAGTTCATTTAATTCTGAAAACAGCCCCATTAAGTAAAGTTAACATCTGTGTTTCATTCAGCAGAGAGACAAGGAAAACAGAATTAAGGGGCTTGACAGGACACTGACAGTGAGTGGCAGATCTGGAGTTTGTATTTCAATTGATGCTTTTAATTACCCATTATCTTATCTAGCCCTTTGAGGTAGGGTTGTTAAAGAAAATACAGGATGCCTAGTTAAATTGGGATTTTGGGTGAAAAACAAGTAATTTTTTTTTTAGTACAATATGTCCCAAATAAATAAAACCAGGCACTCTGTAAGTGAGGGGCTGAGGCAGGGCAAGGGGTGCTAGAGGGACAGGGGACACTAAGGACATCCCAATTCCCAGTGAAGCTTTGGGAGCGCTTGTAAGAACTGGGTAAGGTTTCATCAACAGGAAAGACACCAAGGAAGAGGTATTTGTACACCAGAGTGCAGAGGCAGCAAATGTTACAGGTGGTGGTGGAGCTCCAGTTCAAGGCAGTAAATATGCAGCAGATGGTAACCACTGTAGTAATATGTAACCATTATAGACACTACCCAGGTTGTAGGGATCCTCCACGCAATTACCAACAGGATTACCACAACAGTGAGAGTGGAGAGAAGGACCAGGGACTGGTGAATGCTCCTGAAAGCCAGGCTCAGCAACACTGACCCTACCGAGGCAGGGTTCCCACCGTACTACATGTGGACACTACAGTATTCCAACCCTTCTGTGTAGACAGAAGTGATGGAGGGCGCTGACAGTCAGGGTGCAAGAGAGCAAGGGAGATGTGTGAGACAGAATGTGTATGGGATTATAGACCACCACTCAAAGCCAGCCTAGAGAGGCCAGCAACAGGGAAGACAAGGAAGTCGAGACCCAAGGTCAGCAGCCACCTCAAAGCTAGTGTTGCTGCAACAGTTACAGACACAGCCACCAGAGAACCCTAAACCACAAGATGGTGAAGAGGTATAGCAGCCAATCCTGCTGCTGAGAATTCGTTTGCTTCCAAAGCTGACCAGGGCGGGGCTGAGTAAATGCTGGCTTGTCATCTCTACAGTCATCTGGTTTAGTCATTCAACAAGAAGACATGAATGTGAAATTCCAGCAATAAGAAAAAAAAGATAGATCTGAAGACCTTTAAGTGCTTGCTTTATGCTACTTGACCAGAGACACCAGAACTCTCTTCTTTAGCTATGCAGCATGGGTCTTTTCTTGTTTTCACTTAAAGACATCTCTTTTGGCAATAACAAATGTGGTTTTCAGGGGGTTTATTTTGGTTTCTTGTTTTGTTTTTTAAAACCTGTTTTTTTTTCTCAATATATCTTTAAATTTTATTTTTAATTGTTTTATAACTGGCCAAGTTGAGATTTTTAAGAATTCATTTTTAATTTGTAATAAAAGTTTATAACCTGACTTTTAAAAAACACAACAAACTGCAAACACCTGTTAACAAAGGTCTTAAATAACAACAACAACAACAACAACACAATTAGTTCCTTATTCACTGAAGTGAGAACACAAACTTGGGTATCAGCATGCCCAGATTTGAATTCCACTCTACCTCCATCTAAATATGCAGTATTGGGAAAACCACTTAATCTCGCGGGTCTTTGAGTTTTCATCTGGAAACTAGAGATAATAACAGCACCTCCCTTGTGGTGGCATTATGATTAAGTGAATCAGAATAAACAGGTCAGCACCAACTTTGCGCCAGGCACTGCTGTGATTTGTTATCTGTATTTTGCAATCTTGAATTAGAAATCAGCTATATGAAGCTCTGTTTTCCTGGAGGCATATTGCTTCATGTGAGCCTTTGTATATGCTGTTATAGCATCTTTATCTTTTAGTGGCTGGTGTACCTAACAGAATGTCTCCAAAGTCTAATCATTCAAGCTGTTTCAACTTTCACCATCAACTATAAGCATTTTTGTCTTTTTTTCCTCTGATAGTCTTTGGGGAAATTCAAATTTGAATTTTGATGAAATTCAAATGCAACATCAGATTGCCTTCTTCATAGCAATATCCATTTGTAACCTCGCTACTGCATCATTATCTTTCAATGACACTGTCAAAATGTAAGAGTCAACCTACTTGCTATATTAACACTGAGAAGTAGAAGGCAAATAAAAGTGGAGAAAAGTCAAGTCTCATTCCAAGGCAAAATTTGATGCTTTAAAGTTAAATGAGAAGGCTCTCAGGTGGACAGGCTTGTGTTCCCACAAAGGGTAGTATCCTTACCCAGCGCTGCAGCAGTGCAGTGGGCAATCATGAACCCAGAGTTCAGACCACCTTCGGCCACCAGGAAGGCAGGCAGCTCACTGAGGGAGGGATTGCAGAGCCTTTCAATTCGTCTTTCACTAATTGCAGCAAGTTCATGAACACCAATGGCCAAATAATCCAGGGCCTGAAAGAACACCTCAGTTCAGTTGGCCTGCATTGGAATATACTCTCAGGGTCAGGAGCAATTTTAAAAAGCTTACTTTGGCTGGATATTCGCCATGGAAGTTTCCTCCTGAAATTGTCTCTCCTCGACTGGCAAAGACCATCTTTCAAAGCAGGTTAAGGCTTAAACATGATACTTGTTGATTACTTCGAGTGTAACCTCTGCCCCCATCTGCTTATTTTTAATATTGAAGTAGCAGTGCTCATACAGATATAGGGTAAAGAGAAAGAGACAAGTCTTCCCATAAGTAGTTGTTGACATAAAGGAACACAAAAATAAACGTCATTGAAAGCAAAATGTATACATCTAACTGACAGCCAATAAAAGCATGGAACATGAAATTGTATATTCTGTGGAGAACAAGATTCCAAGTCCCATACCTGTTTATAAGCTAAAGCAGAGAACAGGGCACCTGTGGGAAATCAGATTCTATTTCTCCACTGGCACAAGGAGCCATAGAAGAAGCTGTTGAATAGAAGCTATGACTGTGGGCACCCAGTGAAATGTCTGGAATAATCAATGCTGGGAACATTTTCAAATTCTAGCCTCAGTAATCCTATACCAGTGTTCAGTAACAGATGGTGGCCCACAGGTCCCACAAATCCACTTAAGCAGGAGGGAACTTCAGACTCACTGAGTGTTATCCTCAGAAATAATTCTAATTTATCATGCACTGCACTTAAACCATCAGGCACTCAGGCAAAGACGGTAATGGATCCTCCTTTATGGTTCAAAAAACCCAATTTTTGCCCCCCTGGGCTTTATAAAGAATATATTCAGGGGCTGGAGAAATGGCTCAGCAGTTAAGAACACTTGCTTTTCTTTCAGAGGACCCAGGTTCGATTCCCAGCTTCCATTCCACATGGAGGCCAACAACCATCTGTAACTCCAGTTCCAGGGGATTCGACACCCTCTTCTGGTCTCTGTGGGCACTGCATGCACATGGTGACTTACATATATGCAGGCAAAACACTCACACACCTAAAATTAAAAAATATTGAGAAAAGAATATACTAAAGCCTCCATTATCTTAGACCTTGCATCTGTGTTTTCAGAAAAACTCTGAATGACAATATTCAGGAAAAATTATGTCTATACTGAATATGTCTAGATTTTTTTCTTGTCATTAATCCCTAAATAATATAGCATAACAACTATTTATATAGCATTTACATTATACTAGGTATTATAGATAATCTAGAGATGATTTAAAGTTTACAGGAGGAAGTGTGTAAGTTATCTGCAAGTACTGCATGATTTTACATAAGGGACTTGAGCATGTAAAGATTTTGGTATTCTTGCTAGAGGGAGTATCATGCAACTAATCTTCCACAGGTACTAAGGACAACTGTGTTTGCTGCTCATTAACTGAGAAACTCACTGCACGTGTGAGAAAGTTCTGACTTTCAAAGACCTGGAGATGTACATGATGCAATAACTTAGTCAACTTTGGAGTGACTCTGAACATACAACTATGAACTCACTAGTCCTAGCCATGATGCTGCCCTAATCCTATACCTTGGTCTTTTCTCTGGTCTCTGAATCCCTGTAGCAACTGATCTCAGCACCAATTTAAAATGTAAACATGTTCTATTAGCCTCTAGTTCTCCACATTTGTTTGTTGGTCATTAGATTTTAGTAGTTAGACTTTAACTTCCATAACACCTAGCATTATGCATGAGGTGCTATCTACCTGCAATAGAAAACTGAAAAACATATTCTTCCAGGTAATATCAGTATTGTAGGAGTATGTTCAAATATTAGCTTATTGAAAATTCATCCACACTTCAGTCTTTATTGAGAAAGTAAAGGACCTTTGGCTGAAATTCATATTAGGGCCAATGGTGGAGAAAGAGTTTAATAGAGAATTATTTTCTATATCCAGTTAATTTTTTTTCTCTTTACAAGATACCCTTTAAGATCCAAACCATGAAGCACAGTTTATTCCCTGTTCTGTACTATGCAAGAAGAGATGTGTGAGATAAGACTACAGAGAGTTCATGAAAACCACTGTTCCATTTGAGGAATGTAGTGGCGTTCAGATGAATGCAGAGCTTCACAGGCCGGAGGATAATCTAGTGTGGGTTTGAATAAGCTATGAAGCAATTTCAGAGAACATGAAACATAATCATAAAGTAAGTAAGCTTGCAGAAAAAGTAAATAAAAGCATCTTGTGAGAAGCCTGACACTGCTGTTGCGTAGCCAGCTGCTGGCCCAGGCCACGGGCTGCTTTCAGGGCTATGACCTCCACACTTTCTCCAGTGTTAAGAATGAAGGCAGCTGAATGGGAAGAATGGATTAGAAACAGGGTTGGCTGTTCTAAAAGGCAGTGTTGCTCTGTGAAGATTGTTCCCTGACTGATCACCTCAGTGTCATAGCAAAAGCCATATGGCTATAGGAAAAGTGACTCTCTTAAGGAAAGGAGAATCCCTTCTTTGAGAAACAAAAGCGTTCTTACTGTTCTTTGTACAAACATCTACATTTTGACCTACGTCCACTTCAGAAGTAAAACTCAAGATGGGGAAAGCCATGACTCTTTGTAACACTTTGGTAAGTGTTAGGATGTTGTCTTCTGTTTGTTGCATTCCAGCATCACTAGACTCAAGGCTGCAGAGATGAGGTTAGCCTCCCAGGCTCTCTAATCACATTTATGATATATGGGTCTTCATCCCCTCATCAACAACCTCAGCAGTGGGTTTTCAGCCTTCATGAAACATCTCAATGAATGTTGGAAATACTTGCCTTATATTTTATGGGATTTTTTTTTTTTTTTTGGTCTTTTTGAGACAGGGTCTCCCTGTAGCCCCTGCTGTCCTGGAACTCACTATGTAGACCAGGCTGGCCTTGAACTCACAGAGATCCGCCTGCCTCTGCCTCCCGAGTGCTGGGATTAAAGGTGTGCTCCACCACGCCTGGTTATTTTATGGGACTTTAAAGCACAGTATGTTAGCCTCAGAACAAAAAGCAGGTTCACAGGTCTGTTCCTGCCACTTGCCAACTCTGTCCTAGAGAAAGCTACTTAAATGCTCAGCCTCAGGCATGAACTCATTTGCCTATGAAATGGAGTAATAGGAGATACTCAAAAAAGGATTTCTTAGGAAGATCCTAACACTGCCAGTTAAATATATAATTGCAAATTTGTAGACATTGAAAAGATACAGGATTATCTGTTGCACTGTTTAGTTCTGTAGTAATGATGTCTTTCACAAATGCTATGGTATCATTCACCACTCCATGGACCTAAAACACAATCAAAATAAGATATATGATTCATTGGTTCCATTAAAAAGGCCAGTATTCTATAAGGTAGCACCTTTAGGCTTTTCCCTGTAACTGCTTTGCCTTTATAATTATGAAAAGTATACTTGTAATCTCTCAATCAGAGAGATTGAACTGGCTAATGCTAGCCAAGTTCATCTGCAATTTTTTTTTGTAGCTTTCATTCTCCTGAAACTTGCTATATAGATCAAGATGACTTTGAACTCATTTCTGCCTCCTGAGTGCTGGGATTAAAGGTGTGTGCCACCACATCTGGACCAAATGCATTTTTAAGCTAAAATTGTATCATAGATACATTATACTTATTTATATTTGACTGTAAAATGTGGATAAGATATACTCATGGATAGGCACTTGAATTCTGAAAAATAGAATGAGACTTTCTTTTTTAAAAAATGAAGGGCTGGGCATGGTGGAGCACTTGGGAGGCAGAAGCAAGCAAATCTCTACGAGATCAAGGTCAGCCTGGTTCTCCATATTGAGTTCCAAGCCAGCTGTGGCTACAGGGAGATCCTGTCTCAAAAAGCCAAAAAACAAAAAAAAAATCTGTGTATGAGTGTTTTGCCTGCAGTAAGTGTACCACAATGCCTGCAGAAGCCAGAAGAAGGTGTCAGATTCCCTGGAATCTGTCCTTAACTTCCCTGGAGTTAAGGACAGTTGTCAGCCTCCATGTTGGCACTGGAAACTGAAACTAGGTCCTCTGCAAGAGCAGCCAGTGTTCTTAACCACTGAGCCACCTCTCTAGTCTATAAAGATTTATTATTTTTAATTTAATTTAATTTCTTTATTTCTTTGTTTGTTTGTTGTTTGTTTGTTTTGGTCTTTTTGAGACAGGGTCTCCCTGTAGCCCCAGCTGGCCTGGAACTCACTATGTAGACATGGTTGGCCTTGAACTCAGAGATCCGAATGGCCTGCCTCTGCCTCCCGAGTGCTGGGATTAAAGGCGTGTGCTACCACCACACCTGGCATCTTTTTTTTTTTTTTTCAATTATGTGTACGAGTATATGCCTGTGTGAGGGTATATGAGAGTGTGTGTATATTCTTAGAGGTCAGAAGGTGTCAGGTCCTCTGAAGCTGGAGTTATAGGCAATTGTCAGCCTCCATGTGGGTTCTGGAAACTGAACTCAGGTCCTCTGGTACAATGTAAGAGAAGTACAATGCTCTTAACCACTGAGCCATTTCTCCAGTGAATGAGACTTTCTTGTGAAGATCCCTGCTTCACTGATCGCTTTTCCCTCCAGGAAGAACCAGCACTACTCTTATAACTCTATTTAGCTGTTGCACTAAGTCGGCATCACAGGTTGTCTATTGAACTCAGATTAAGCAAATCAATTCTAAAGAAGACCAACTGTTTGGTCTACCCAGTAAGAAGTTTCTAATAACTGGGGAAATGTAAATACAACATACACAGTCTTTTAAACAGAAGCAGTAAAAAGATTTGGATTGCATTTGGCCATGGCATGTTTTCTAAAGCCTTCCTCTTTTTCTATTTTTTCCTCTGAATTTGGGGAAAGGAAAGAGCCTTTGTTGGGTTTGTTTGTTTTTTTGTTGCTTTTACCTGTGGACAGCAGCGCAAGGTGTATGCATCCTGAACACGATCACAGAACCTATGACTTTCTGTAGAACAGGACAGGGGAGGAGACGGAACATTACCAATCCGCCCATGGAACAAACTCAAATAAGCCCACCCATACAGGGTTGTCCAGACCTGCGATTTCTGATGGGTGGTGATCTGAGTCCAAGAGCGACCGAAACCGAAAAGCGACTTCAATTTGCCCACGGTGAGGGCGAACAGCATGAATGTCTAGAATTGAAGAAAGTGAAAATGTCTGAGCAATTCTGATATTAGAATGAACTACTACAGGGGTGCAAGATCACCCAAGATGCCGGAAAGAGCCTCAACAGTCCCAAGGGTCCTTACCCACCATGCCAAATTAGATACTTCAATCCAAAGGCAAACTTTCCCCTAGCGATTTTATTGTCTCTATTTGCTGTGCAAACTGTTTATAGAGAACACTGGAACTTGAACTCAGGACACCTGGCCCACCCTTAAAAGAACTGGGCTGATGACAACAGGGAGCACAAATAGTGGCTTAATTTAGCCTAGGCATTTTTGGACATTTTCTACCCTATGATATATTGGGAAGTCTTTGAAATTCACTAATTTCTAGATAAGCCACCTGTATCATTTTTGTCTCTATGTTTTCTTATAGGGCAATCCTAATCTTATTGGAAGTGTGTGTGTGTGTGTGTGTGTGTGTGTGTGCGCACGCGCGCGCGCCAGAGAACAACTCTGGATATTGTTGCTAATGCACCATCCACTTCTTTTATTTTTCTTTCTTTTTTCTTTTTGGAGACAAGAGTCTCTTACTGGCCTGACACCAAGCAGCTAGGCTGGTTGGCCTGTGAGCCCCAGAAATCTGCTTGTCTCTTACTTCCTTAGCTCTAGGATTACAAGCATGCAGCACCACGACCAATTTTTTAAAAGGAATTTAAAAAATTCTCATACTTGCAAAACAAGAGCTTTACCAACTGAGCTATCTGCCCAACCCCTTACTGGAGTTTTAAGTCTTCTAAGCAAACAATACCTACTTTGACATGCCCAGTTCACTGAGTGGCCTGGAGCAGGCCACTGAACTCTCCAGGTCTGTGTCTTTCTACAGACTAGTTGTAGGACTGAGAGTAGCAGACCTCAGATGAAGCTGGAGCAGTCCTGGGTATGCTGAGGGAACCTGGGTTTTTTCTGTCTTCCCTGCCACCCCACCCCCCACCCCTGTGTCTAAAGACATCAACCAACTCGCCCTGGTTGAATGAGTAACCAAACAGAAGAACCTGCTGACCAGTATCGAAGGCTTTGGTGGTGCCCTTCAGCACCTCAAGGGTCAAGGCAGCCACAATGTCAGCCTGCCGGGCAATGGCACTGGCTCTCTCCACAGCTTCACAGCCCAGGGAAGTGATCATCTGTGTCCCATTGATAAGTGCTAAGCCCTATGGGGAAAGACAGGAAAGTTTCCTACTGTATTTATCACAATGAGGCTATAGACATGCAGATTTCATGTTTTGCTTATGTAAGTGAAGACCTAGCCCATCAACGGAGCTATATGCTGGCATATTTTCTCAAGTGCAGCACAGTCACCCTTATTCATGTACTTGATGAAGATATGGCATCATATACGAAATCATTAGCCCAAATCTGGTGAAAGGAAGATCTGCTGACTGTCTCCCTGTCAGGGCAGCTGTGTGGCATCTGTAACATCCTCAGCCTTTGATGCTGAGTTGTTTCTTTAACTTCTCATCGTTGTTGACAAAACATCCTAAAACTCTTCTGGTCAAGCCACTGGGCTGAGAACATCTTAAGGGGCCTTGACTGAGAATATCTCAGAGAGTTCCTTAGAGAACTACATTTGAAGTTTAAATTCTTAGCGCACCCCTAAGCCCTTGCGGGGTGAAGACTGCTTTAAACAATCACAGAGAAACCCTTTCTTCATTGACAAGCTTTCAAAACACATCCACACCGTGTTTTTGAAAACAATGCATACACAAAGCTTTGTTTCCCTTGACAGTTTTACCTCTTTTGGTTTCAGAACAACTGGCTTCAATCCGTGGGCCTCCAGGACCTGCATTAAAAGCAAGAAAATGGTTATCAAGTGAAAGACCAGCTCAGTTTTTATTTCATATGGAGCCCAGTGAAATATTTTGTAGGCCGAGTCCATCATATAAAGTATTCGGCCGACATTAAATTGGTTATGGTCAGGTTCCCAGTTCTAGTGTCTATTCCTATTCTTTAATGAAAGCAGACTCAACTTCCAAATGACTTTTGGACTTAAATCAGGAGCTCTACTGCCTATAGGATAAGTGTTGCTTTCAGGTTCCTCTGTGTTTGGTTTCAGTCTTTGTGACTCACCTTTTCTTACTGCTGATTCCTGATACACCTGTCTAGGTTAAGACTGGGTTCCTGGCTGATGGTCTGTATGCTTCCGCCTATAGAGCATGACCTAAAAAAGTCCTCTATTCCATCTTTCATTCTTGATCACTGGCAGAACCTCGGAGCAGGGCTTAGGTGGCAAATGTGTGCAGGACAATGAAGAGGGGATTGTGAAATCTACTAGGTAAAGACAGAATCATGAGATGAAAGGGACCGAATATGCTTTCTCTGAAATCAAAGAAGAGATGTCACTAAATTAAGGTTGTCCTAGGCACAAAGGAAGATAGAGGTAAAATAGGAGAAACACAGAGTCAGTGCCACTTAGTCATGTCCAGTTCAAAGACATGAGCACTTCAGGGTGTTGAGCTGGAGCTGAGGGTGGGGGGAGGGGGGAAAAGAGTGGAGATGGACAAGCTCAGGGGCCACTAGACCATCCATATGTCAAGTGCTTGAGGACACACATTGGGAACAAATAAAAAATAATCCCACAAGCTGTGAGGACAGCATGGAGGAGGAGTGAGTGACCTCGAAAGGATCAGAGCAGCAGAGAAGGTAAAACCTTAGGGGACTTTTTAGAGGGAAACAAATGGAGTAAAATAGGTAGGGAAAGAATGTGTTGGGCCCTCTGCCTAGCACGAAGCACATCTAGTTTCTGCCATGAGGAACTCTGGGTAGGAGGGATTGTGGAGAATCATGAAAAATAAGACTCTGGAAGCCCCATGATGAACTTTATCTTAAAAACAAGGGACTGGAGAGATGGCTCAGTGGTTAAGAGTACTGGTTGTTCTTACAGAAGACCCAGGTTTGAATCCCAGTACCCACATGAGGCAGCTAACAACCATTTGTAACTCCAGTTCCAGGGAATCCAATGCCCTCTTCTGTCCTCTGTGGGCACCATTTGACACAAGTGCACTTACATACATGCAGGCATAACACTCATACACATAAAAATAAATAAATAAAAGCAAAGGAAATGCTACAGGTTTAACCAAGACTCAGCTGGATTTGCTGTTAACAAAGATCAGGTTGACTCCCATGTGATGGTTTTTGGGGAGGCACTGTCCACACAGATAGAAGCAAGGTGAGGTTTCACGGGAGAGTGATGATCTAGAATCTGCATTCCCCAAAGATCGATCTCGTCCCTTAACTTGTTCCCCCTCCTTGGTCTTCTGCCCTTTCACTTATTGTTAGGAGACCTCTCAGTAACTGATCTGAGAAGACATTAGAAATGATGCTGTGAGCTGGTCTAGTGGAATTTAGTGATGAAGAAAACATTAAAGTCTTTATGCACAAAATATGTTTCTGAATAGCTAATCAGGGAAGGAGCCTAGGGAAAATGGACTGCACTGTCTAGAGACTGCATAGGTGATCCCGAGGCCCACAACTCTGCACCTATTAGATCAACTTCCTGGGGCTGGAGAGATGACTCAGCAGTTAAGAGCACTGGCTGTTCTTGCAGAAGACCTGGGTTCAAATCCCAGCACCCACATGGTGGCTAATAACCATCTGTAACTCCAGTTTCAGGGGATCCGATGCCCTTTTCTGTCCTCCACAGGCACTGCATGACACCAGTGTACTTACATACATACATGTAGGAATGACACTCATATACATAAAAATAAAAATAAATTTTAAAATCTTTATAAAGGATCAGCTCCCTAGTGCAAGTATGAGAGTTTAACCTTCCCCAATTGGCAATAGCAGTCTTGTGACTGAAGAATAAATTCTGGATCCAGGTAGGGGAATCACTATGGCTAGAAGTTGCCATGCAAGTCTTACATATTTAGCATCAGCCCAGCCACTCTTTGGAGACCACATCTTTCCTTCTCCAATCAGTCCCAGAGCAAGATGAGAGAGCGGTGCAAGGTCTCCACTGGCACCAACAGTTCCTTTCTCTGGAACATAGGATAGGCAGGAGGCTGCAAGAAGAGTCGGCACCAGTTACCTTGAGAGCAGTTATCCTTGCTTTGCCAGCAAATATGGCTCCACCTCCAACAGTCCAGAATCACTTTGCAGCATAAGTACCTGGGAAGATAATTTCTCAAGCACAGCTAATGCTTAAGGGAACCAGCTGAGCTGCTATGGAAAGAGAGGAGTGAGGGTAGAGGGAGGAAAAGAGGAAAGAAGGAGGGAGGGAGGGAGGGAGGAGAGTGGGAGAGGAGGGAGGAGGGGAAGGAGGAAGAGGCAGCCAGAAGGAAGGAGGACACCCCCCTCGCCCACCAGTAGCAAGGTCTTCAAAATGCTCATGCTATAATGATCCCACTTCTAGAAATTCTAGCAATGTACTTCAGAGATGCAGTTGGAAGCTGGCTGTTGACCATTATATCCTTGTTTAGAAGAACATTTAAAAAGTTAGAAAGTATCAGAATACAGAATTAAGGGACATTCATGTAACCAAATGGTTATGTAGTCATTAAAAGCTATTGGAGAATATTTAGAAATATGGAACCATTTACTTTAAAAACTATGGGATATTCTAGAAAGACATGGTATGCCAAAATATTAACAGGGATTCTCTGGGGGCAGTAAAGTCATATGCAATTTAGTCTCTCTCTCTCTCTCTCTCTCTCTCTCTCTCTTGCTGTGTGTGTGTGTGTGTGTGTGTGTGTGTGTGTGTTTGAGACAGGGTCTCATTGTAGCCCTGGTTAGCCTTGAACTTGATATGGAGATCTGTCTGCCTCTGCTGCCTGAGTGCTAGGATTAAAGGCATGTGCTGCCATGCCTGGTTCATTCTGTCTCTGTCTCTCTGTCTCTCTGTCTCTCTGTCTCTCTCTCTCTCTCCTTTCTTTCTCTCTTTCTCTCTCTCTCTCTCTCTCTCTCTCTCTCTTTTCAGTGAGTCAGTTACTACAGTGCCACCACCACTTATACATGAGCATATACTACTTTTTAGAAATTCCCCCCAAAGTCATTAAAGAAGGGGGCTTCTGTTTCCTAAAATAAAATCAGCCCCTGATGGTGGTATACTGGTTTTTTTCTTTCTAGCTGTTGTTAAATAATGTCAGTAAGATAATAGCAGTGCCATCCATGGGTCAGCTTCCAGTACATAGCTGAACTGGGGGTTGTCAGAGCACTAGGGACCCAGGGGGGCCTTAGACTTACCTTTCAGAGTACAGGTGAGCTCACCTTAGAGTTATAGTGAATTGGCTTTGAGGCTTGTGGTGGGGCAGACCCAGCAGGAGTAGACAGGTGTTAGGAATCACTCTGGGCCTGTGTAGATGTCCCTCTAGATTGTAGACTGTGCCCTTCATTGATCAGCATGTCACATTTATGAGTCCCTTGTGCCCTTAGCATAGCATAGCATCTCAAGCATGTTGTCTTCTCTGCAAAGCCCTATTTCTTTTCCTATTCCTTTCCCCTAAGGAGCTCCTGAACTTCTGGTGACCTGATGTTTCATCCTTAGCTGTGTGAAGGGACAGAGCCTTTCATACTTTCATATCTAGTCTTCCCACTTAAGGAGGGTCTACTGGGTTGAGGTACATCATGTCCACTACAATGGCTTCATGACTACTAAGTGAATCATTAACCTCTTCACATTTCTTTCTCTTTTTTTGAGACAAGGTCTCCCTGTAGCTACAGCTGGTCTGGAAATCACTATGTAGACCAGGAAGGCCTAGATCTCATACAGATCTACTTGTCTCTGCCTCCACAGCGTTGGGATTAAAGGCATGTGCCACCATACCTGGCTCTTTTCACATTTCTAATCTACCTCTCTAAGAAGTTGGATTTCGGTGTACACATTTAACTGGTCTATCATTTGGGGAGCATTAAGAGTTGAGATTGCCAAGTGCCAGCTGGAACCACACTGTCTTTGTAATGGACATCACCCAGAAATTGTGTTCTGGGATGACTTGGGCAACCTTTCTAATCACATACGAGTACCACTGAATTGAGGGGTCTGTGTAGGCCTGAACTTAAAGGCAGACTTTAGGGACTTGTTCTAGTCTTAAATGGCAAATGCTAGGTGAAAGTCACTATAAGATGGGTTAAAACTTACTGGATTAACTGGTTCTGTCATTCGTGCTACCAGACTTCCAACTGACTACCAACTGATTCTCCTTGCCAAGCCCATTTTCCACTTGCTTCAATTATTGTCATTTTATCTAACCATCCAATCATTCAAGTCTACCTTGTAGGGCATGGCCAGCCTTCATGACAGGCCAGGATAATGATTTGTTGCCTTACCATTAAATACTTCAATAACTTGTTTCAGGGTCTCCAAGGAAATTCCACTGTATCCTTTGGCTAAGACGTTGATCCTCAAAGCCAAGAGCATCCGACACCTCTCAGGACTGAGTGGTTTCCCAACACCTAAAAAGCAGAATTGACATTTTCTCCAAGAAAAACAAATCCTTCTCCATTTCATGGCTGCCCCTACCTCCCGGATCTTTCCCCATTTCTGCCCAATCTCCTGTTGGCTTTCTGGAGTTGATGGGACAGCTCTCTGTATGGCCTCTCTTGCTTTTCAAAGTCTTGTCTAAACCTAAGTAGACGCCCAGATTTGCCTTCTCAGTTCCCTTTCTCAAAGCACTTCAGTGAACCTCACCCTCCCAAATACCTTTAGAATACAGTAAACTCCTTAGCACAAGCTCTTTCAGTATGATGGGCCTAAAGCTCACCCAACTCACCCACCCCCAAGTTTCAGCCTTCATTTTCTCCCCTAAATGTATCACTCTCTTTATAAGATGGGATACATGGTCCTATTCCAACTCCATCCCTCCACTGAACCCATTCTGAAGTGCATCAGAAAGGCACCATCTGCCTCCCCTTCCTGGGTCCCAGCACCCAGTCTTTGGAATGTGCTTGGAACATATCAGCTGAGGTGGCTAGCAGTCATGGTGTCCATGACTCACACTGTGTTAATCAATCATATAATCTAACATGATTTAGAAGGCACCCAATACTCTGAATGTTTTACCTGAAGAATGGGAACGAACTAGGTTGACTTGAAGCTCCCTGGAAGAGAAAGTTAAAAACCTTCTTAGGTATCTTGGGTGAGCATGCTCCCTCAGCTAGGAAGATAAAGGGAGGAATAGTTACGTCTTTAAAGGGGCAGCCACATTCGGTCAAAGAAAAAAGTAAGTCTTGTTTTCATGACCAGTCTAGATACAAGTTAACCTAAGCCTTACACTGTGCACAAAGGTACGTAAATAAGAAGCTTGACTGTCTCCTGGAGTTTTGTGAGGATTTGATATTCTAGGCTCAATAAATGTCAACATGGCAAATGTCGAAGCAAAATTTCAAAGATTGGGGTGGGTAGAATGGGAGTGTATGCATTTGAATCTTACTGTAGTTTACTGACAGGAATTACAGTTCTGGCAAATTTCCCAAAACCTGTAGTGATGCCGTAAACAACTAGAAGGAAAAAAAAAGTAGACATTATATGGTTAGTTGTAAGAGATGTTTTGTTTCCTATAAAAATAATTTTATAATATACAGAGAAAAGGATACCTGTTTTTTCTCTTATGATGCTGTCTATGACTTCCCTGGATTTTTGCACCCTCTTTTCAGCAGTTGAAGTGAGCTAGGAAAATGTTGGCCAGGAGTGAGTATATAAGAGACTTTCATGTCCAGTGAAAACAGAAGGGAATCATCCATCATCCCTCCCTCCCCACATACCTTTATCTTGTAGTGCCCCTTTCCCAAGTTGACCAGATCCTCTGTGTTCAGACTGTCCCCATCTAAGGCAATGTACTGCACAAAAGGAGTGAATCTCAGAGAGAAGCCTTCTACACAAAATCTGATACTTCATTACTTGTATGAACATTGATGTGTTAAGAACACAGTTGGTTTAAGAGGAGGCTGAGTAAGAAAAGTTAGAAGCACAAAAGTGCAGTGCTTTGGAGTTTCCTCTTGCAGAGTACCACTCCAAGAGTCGGATAAAACCTCCCAAGGCAAGGTGTTTACACAGGTATGGCCTCCTCCTCCTTAAGGGAGGATGGGATATGTGCGGGGGTTTGGAGAGGTGCTAGAGCAGACATGACAGGACTTCATTGTCCCCAAAAGAAAAGTAGCTTGCAGCTTACCTTTTCAGGCTCCCGGTATTTGCTATATCTGAAGCCAGGTAAAGGAACATAGCAGCAGAGTAGAAAAAGCCCAGCCCCACAGTGGCAGGACTTGCCCCTAGCTGAGCAAAGAGGCTACACAAAGGATACAGGTAAACACCTTCTGGCTGAGAGGGAATGAAGTCAGGAGACATGGCATCGCCTTCTATGACTGAAACAAGAAAGTGAGAGGCTTTCTAGACCACCCTACAGTACCTTTGTCTGGTGTTAGATAAAGGAATGGCCCTTCCACCCACTGAGCTTGGATTCTATAACAATGGCTGCTTGATTATGACTCCCAACACTTTCACATGGTCTTAGTATCTTTACACAGGAGAGCAACAGGCAGAGAGATAGACACAGTACAGTTAGGTGAAAGTTCAGGTCTAGCCTTCCTGCCTGTATGCCCACTCTGGTAGCCAATTCTTTGTAAGTCTGTAATCTTGGCACCTCTGTGCTTCTGGTCTTCAGTCTGGTGAGGTCTATGTAAGGGCAAAAGGATTCTGTAAGCACAAGCGGATTCAGCCCTGTGGCGGAGAGTTCAAGTCAGACCTAGTCCCTCACAAGCTAATAGCCTCTGGGTTTTCACTGCCTCGCATAGACTGGCCGGCTGACTGACAAGGGGTGGATAAGAAACTTAGCTTGGGACTTGACTAGGGCAAGTGCTCACGCCTGTTTTTCTTATCATTTCCCCTGACACAAGGGTGACTTCCAGGCCATGCCCCACCTCAGCATCCCCTTCCCCATGGCCACTCACCCACTTCTACGAACTCATTGTCCTCCAAGGCCACGTCCAGCAGGTCTTCGCTGTCCAGCAGGCCCAGGCCCTTGCACCTACGCACGAGGAAGTGCACCTCGTCCACTGAGGTGAAGCCACCATTGTCTGGCTTGTTCTTCATGTAGCGCCGCACGGCCTCGCGGCCCAGCCAGCCCACGGTGAGCTGCCCATCACTACAGGGCACCGCCAGCCATTCCCCACGCACGTGCACTGTGTACCTAGGCATGGCACTGCCACTGTAGCTCTTCCGAACTATAAGGCCACTGCAACCAGGTGCTGGCTCCTTTTCCCAGATGCCTTTATCCTTTACCCTGGAGGGGAGTGACTGTTGGGGTGTGATGGGCAGGGAGAGAGAGAATGGACTTTCAAAACACACCCCTTCCCTCGCCTTTACTCATCCACTCGTTAGACAAATATTTATTACAGTCCTTCCTTGTTCCTTTAGCTCTTTTGAAGCTGAGCTAGGTGCAGGAGAGGAGGATGAGGATACGTGAGTGCTGGCGGTGATCCTGGAGGTTTCAGGCCCTGCTGATACCTCTGCTGCTTCCCACTTTGGACCAGGGTCCCCAGTTTCTCCCTCTCCTTTTCTGTTTGATTTTTCCTCCATTGACAGCCGCTTATAAACTCCATGTTTTCCTCTTTAGAGGATTACTCAATCTTGAACAGCATCCCCTTGGCCAATTGTGACACCCTGGACTGTGGTAATCTTCACTCATTTATTTAGTCCACAAACACGATTGAGCAACTCCTCTCTGACTAGTGTTTATGCAGCTATTGCGCCACAAAGGGAAGATGAGAAGGCCGAAGATCATTTTCACAGTTGTTTCTGGACTAATGAACCACCAACAGTTGGAGGCCTGCTGTGTACTGCCCCGGGGAGAGTTATCAGCCTGTTTCCTCACCCAAAGGCAGACTGCACACAGCAATCATCCGCAGCATCTACCTGGAATCTATTCTGGCTTAGTGATTTTTGGGTCTGCTGACTTCCAGGCCGGTCACTTGATTTTTCTGGGCTTCATCCTTTTCCTTTATAAAATGGAGATAATCCTAATACCTATCTCAAAGGGCAGCTGGAAGGACAAAGCGAATTCATGTGTCAACTCTTAGGGCAGCACCTCTTCGATGGAAATGCCACAAGTGTGTTTGGGGTAACTGTTACCCTGCCTTGAACTGTCACCCTGAGTTGGACTTTAACACTCCGTGTGACCTCAGTTGTTTTGTGATTTCTCTTCATCTTGGCACCTGGATATCCCCAAGTTAAGCTTCTTGACCACAGATAACTGCTCCCTGCACCCAATTCATCCCGCTAGCACTGGGGTACTCTGATAGCATGAAAAAGAATTCAGAGAAATGTGTGCACTGTTTTAATTAAGCGTCCACTTTAATAGTAAACCAGTTCAGAGAAATTCAATCATTGCAATAGAAAATTCTGATGTTTCAACCTTACTGGAAACAGAGATACAATTGCTTCCTGCAACCACCCTATTTACATTCTGAGCAGCTCACTTATTGAAATATGCTGATCAGACACCCACAACCTGACTGTGCCCTGCAATTTTTCATCACAATAGAGATGTGATCTTCAACTTTAATATTCCTCCTTCAGGCCTCCTTCCAGCTCTCCCTTTAGTCATCTCTGCCCATGTACTTGACTTCTGGTTAACCCTTTCTTCTACCCCCCCCCCCCCCCCCCGGGAGTACTTCACTTCCTAGAAATCTACCCTTGTCGCTCACCCGGGCCATGCTTTCTTAAGCACTTTTAAGGTCCTCAGCAACCCCAAATCTGTGCCTAGAGCTGGAGTGAAACCCATGCCCCGAGTTTCCCTGGTAGGAGACTGGCAGAAAGCCCTGTGGTCATGTGGATTATGCTCTGACTCCTGCCTCCCAACAAAGTAAATTCCCCAAATCTTTACCTCTTGATTTAAACCTAATTCTCAGACTCAGGCCTCTCCTACATCTCTAGGAAAACTGCTGCCCTTAGATGCGAGATGTGAACCACCTTCTCTGTGCCCCCCTCCCTTCATGGGGTCCTTTCCCAACACCTGGTATCAAGTTCTTTTTCAGGTGCTGAAGAACCAGTCTCACTCAAGCACATTCATGGGCTTGGTGTGTGCTGATCGATTCAGACTCAGAAAAACCAAGATGTCGAACTACCCCTTAGGTTGGAAGGACACTCAAACTGCTAGATGCTCCAGTTGACATCCCAGCTGGGCCCAGCTTTCGAATAACTCCAAGATAACATCATCTCCCAGAGATTTAAGTACCCCCCCCCCAGCTGTCTGAGGCCTCTAAACACAGGCCCCAGACATTATGGAGAAGACTTCTGTTATTCTTTCTCTGGCACACTCTCCAGTTTCCTTTGCTTGGCTAGAATGCTCTTCCTGAAGTCTCCAGTCAGCTGTTTCTTAAACCACCCTCAAGATGGTCTGGGTGGTACTTTCAGGGTACTTTAACATAACCATTTTTTAAAGCATTATCTAGAAACTTATTTTTTTTTAGTTCATGCAGTAATCATGCACATCTGACCCGGCACAAAGACACTCAATATATACATATCAGCTGAACTACAGTCAGTGTGAGCACTTCCTTAGTCACAGGTGAACCTGTAGATAGAATGTCTTTGGCGCCCTCTGCCTTTCTCGCACCACCCTTCTCCACCTCCCTCCAAGGATCTCTTGCTCCAATTCACTTTCAGTATCACTGGGTGTACTGAAAGGGCCTTGCTTGGCTTAGTTTGTCTTGTAAGATCATAAGGCAAAGGAAATCTTATAAAACATTATTTGGATACGTAATTTTTTCTCAAGTCCAAATCACTTTCCGTGTGATTATATAACAGGAATTTGAATTGAGCTCTCCCTTCTGTTTTTCCAGGCAAGAAAGTGAGAGCTGAGTGTTGGGAAATAGAATTGTGTGCAGCAAAAGTAAATACCCAAAGAGCACAACTACTAGGTCTGAGAGAGGAGCAAGAAGTCTCAGGAGGCCAGGATTGGGTAGGAACTTCTGACGTTTGCCCCATCGCCTAGCTGCTCACTCCCGGCCTGATTCCTGCTTTAAGACCTTACTCTTTGCATTTTAGGGTGCACCTAGAGATGACACATGCCTCCAAAGCTTATACTCTTAAGACAACACTCCTCTTGTCTAGAACTTATTTGGTGAGTGGTGGGTTCAACTTGGGAACTCAGAATTGTGGTGGTCTCTCCATATGTTAACAGCAGAGCTGGAGGTGTCCAGGGTATACAAGGGCTACTTTTTTCTTTTTTTTTTTGTCTTTTTGAGACAGGGTCTCCCTGTAGCTCCAGCTGTCCTGGAACTCACTATGACCAGGCTGGCTTTGAACGCACAAAGATCCACCTGCCTCTACCTCCCAAGTGCTGGGATTAAAGGCATGCACCACCACACCCGGCTTTTTTTTTTTTTGAGACAGGAAATCTCACTGGCCTGGAAATCACTGAGTAGGCTTGGCTAACTGACCAGCAAGTTCAATAAATCTACATGTCTCCAGCTCCCCAGATCTGGGATTATAATGCCTCAATGCCTGGCTTTTTAAACATGGTTCACAGATGAGACAGGTATGCTAATGGCTCTGCGGATATTTTCTGTCTGCTCATGGGTTCTGACAACCTCCCTCTTGGACCATTTTAAAAAGAAAGTATTCAACACAGCATATTTCATTAAAATTTTTTATTTGGTTGTGTGTGTGTCTGAGCACTCACACCACAGCACACATGTGGAAGACAGAGGACAACTTGCAGGAGTTGGTTCTTTCCACCTTGTGAGTCCCGGGATAGGACTCAGATAGTCAGGCTTTGGGGCTAGCGCCTCTACCTGCTGAGCCATCCTGTCAGCCCACTTAGCATTTATTTATTTATTTATTTATTTATTTATTTATTATTTAATTTATTTATTTAATTTTATTTTTAACTTCCCAGACTGTGATTTTTTTTTACCTCTAGAAGATCAATTAGGTATCTTACATTTTCTGTAGGACACAGGGCGAAGGCACGCTGGGGCTGTAGGATAGTAGAATTAAATAATGGAAAATCTCCTGGTGCCTGGGAATGGAAAAGGTCCAATGTCAGGGCTTAGGTGTCTAGGACCAAGTGTAGAGTCAAGACCACTACAAAGCTGCTACCCAACAGTGAGAAGTCCTCCATCTTCCAATCTGCTCCACAATCAGCCCACCACAGGAGGAATGTGGAAACGTGGTTCACAGGAGGGGACCACAGCTCCAGATTCAAAGGAGGGGACCATAGCTCCAGCTCACAGGAACGGACCACAACTCCAGCTGTGGGAGGCACCATAGCTCCAGGTTCACAAGAGAAGACGACAACTCAAGCTCACAGGAACTACCTTGGATCTTTAAATAATCTTCCCCTTCCCTTCCAGACTAGGGTTTTTGTAGCTGGTAACTAAAGAATCCTAATACCACCAAGGTTCCCAAACTACAGAAATGCCTGGGGTACTAACTAACACTTCAAGGGTGGCTTTCTTAGTCCTGTCTTTTATTTGGGTAAAGTTCAGTCATTTTCAGTGTGTCTCTGTATGCTATAAGCTCTATGTGGGTAAAGAATGCTAGCTGGTCAATGAGGAGGTGATGATGCAGGTTGAGTGGAGTGCTGAAGGCCTCTGAAGAACAGGAGACCAAGGTGAGTTCACTGCATTAGCAGGATGAATCCTGGGCTGGGGAGCATGGGCTCCTACTGGCTTATAAACTTTGGAAGGGAAAATCCTACCTCCTCTAGTTGGGTGGTGAGCAAGTCCAAATAAATGTTCATGCTTAAGGCTATTTAAAAAGCAAACTCTGGGCTGGGAGATATTGAATTTGATCCTCAGAACCGATGTTAAAAAAGCCAGGCATGGTGACAGATGCTTGTAATCTCAGAGCTAGGGAGGTGGAAACAGGAGGATCTATGCGGCTTGCTGGCCAGCCAGCCAGAAAAATGTTATTGAATAGGTTAATGCTGTTGTAATGAAAAAAAAAAAAAAAAAAAAAAAAAAAAATATATATATGTATGTAGTGCCTGAGGAACGACACTTGAAAGCTGTCCTCTAGGCTCTTTGTACATTCAAATTAAAGAACTTCAATAAAACATCAGGTAAATAATATGGTGAAATATTTTGTACTTACACTGAGAAAAATGTGAGGTTAGTTTAGAAATCTGAAACTTCTGCTAGGCATAGTGGCATACACCTATAATCCCAGCACATGGACAGCTGAGTCAGGAGGATGGAAAGTTCAATGTTGGCCTGGGCTACACAGTGGGACAACTGTCTCTATATAAATAAATAAGCAAACAAATATTGAAACCTGCAAATCAAAAGATTTAAGTTCAGTAAAATTTACTTTACAAAGAACATACCACTATTTTAAAAAGGTAGCAAAATCACTGAGAAAAATGAAAAAAAAAACAAAACAAAACTGAAGACATTTTTAATTAAAATGACAGCTAAAATCTTGTATTTCTTCATAGATTCAATTTTAAAAATGGAAAATTTTGAAATCAGCAATAGGCAGGTCCTTAATCCACTTTTAAATCTCTCCCCACCAGCATTGCAGTCACAGGATGCATACTGGCTCTGTGCTCCTGGTAGACGTGGATGGCTTGATCATGGGATTTGTCAAAGGCAGCAAGATCCCTGCCAAGAAAAGAGAGGGTGAGAGAGATGGAAAGAGAGGGACAAGGGAACACAAGCCAATGCACAAGTCATAGCACACATGATGGCTGAATGTCATGCAAATAACCAGACGGCCTTTTACATTCTCTGTATCGAATACTGACCCTTAGAAGAGTAAGTCCCAGACATCTTGAGGGGAGTTCCATGGAGGAATTGCAGTGGAAGACAGTGGTTGTTCACAAACAGCATGGAGAAACTTTATTATTTCTTCTCTACTAAATATCTGGCTAAATATTGGCCTTGTATGAATAAGTTACCTCAGTCTTTGTCTTTTTAAAAATGCTTTTTCTTAAGATGTTCTGTATGATATACACAAAAATTCAATAAAAGATTCACAAACCAAAAAAAAAAGAAAATGAAAAAGCAATAGTGGTAAAACTTCATGTGCCCAAATACCCACATCAAGGCAGGGGTAAACAAAACGAGTCACTTCTATTAACAGCCACTGTTCTGACCAGTATGAATT